TTTAGGGTTTAGGGTTTATCTTATACAGGTTTCTATGCAGGCTCTACAAGGGCAGAAGGTTTCTATGCGGTTTCTACAGGCCTTTTCTACAAGAAGCTTGCTACAAGGTTTCTGCAAGGATTCGATAAGGGCTTGATGAGGGCTTGATTTAGAGGTTTCGGACCGACGGGTAAAGAGTGACGGGGCTCGGGGGTTGCGGAGCTCTGGGTTTAGGGGCCAAGGGGTTTAGGGTCTATGGGTAGGTTTAGGCTGTAGGGCTTGGGGTGAAGGGTTTAGAGGCTTTCGGGTTAGTGCTTTCTGGAGTTCCGAGTTTGTGGTTTAAGAGAGTTCATGGATCCGAGTTTAGCTCCCACCTCGGAATCTCGCGGACGAGGTCCACGTACTCCATCTTCGGAACTTCCACGATCTGTTCCTTTCTCAATATAACGGGTCCAGTCAAGAGGGTTTCGTAGGGCTTCCAAAAAAGGGCTCCTATACTGAAAGTTGTTATACTTTGGCAACAGGGTTCCTAGGCTGTTCCTTTCTGCCATTCAAGGGGGTTTCGTAGGGCTTCCTCAAAAGGGTTCCTATACTGAAGGTTGTTATACTTTGGCAACAGGGTTCCTAGGATGTTGTCTACAAGCGGCCCATTTAATGCTCCTCACGTCGATCGCGTGTGGCTGTGGGGCTTCATTCGGCTGCGCAACCTGGGGTGCTCACGAGCTTTCTTCCAAAGCTCAGTGCTGAGGTTGCCGCTCTCGGCGAGTGCTTGCACAGGATGCTCATCATCACATCCCGGAATGCAAGATTGTCGACGGCGGCAGCAGCGGCAGCGGCAGCAGTGAAAACAACAGAATACCGAGAAAGACTGTGAAACAAAAGCTAAACCCCAAACCCTACACCCCAAGAATCCCAGACCCTAAACCCCTACACTCCTGAACCCCAGCACCTAAACCCCAACCCCTAAATCCCGCAAAACCTGCAAAGAGTCCTGGATGGTTGTGATGGGGACCTCTACCACCCGCTCGATGACCTCGTAGATGGGCTTGACGACCTGATCCATGGTTTAGGGTACAGGGTTCCTTTGAAGGCATCTACAATAGATAAGGGTTCCTAGAAGGGTTACTATAGGACCTAAGAAGTGAGTAGGGCTTAGGGTTGAGAGGTCTAGGGCTTAAGGTTGTCCGGTTTAGGGTTTAAGGGAGATCCAGGATCTACTCCCCGGGTGTAGGGCTGAGGGAGTAGAGATTTAGGGCTTAAGGTTTTGTGCGGTTCAGGCGGATTCAGGATTCATTTGAGAGCTTTCATGGGATTAATAAGGGCTGAGGGCACACATAGCTAGAAAGTTAGGTTCTACTGAAACCCTAAACCCATAAACCCTAAACCCTAAACCCCTAAACCCCTAAACCCCCCCTAAACCCTCAAGGGGTTGGGATCTAGGATCTCTCCAGGGCTCGGAACTAGAAGTCGTCGCGATCCTGGGGAAAAACGACGAGTTTCGGCTGGCATTAGGGTTTAGGGTTTAGGGTTTAGGGTTTAGGGTTTAAGGTTTAGGGTTTAGGGTTTTGGGTTTTGGGTTTGGGGTTTAAGTTTTAGGGTTTAGGGTTTAGGGTACAATGGCCTTGTGCACATGCGCGTCTAGATCAGCTTGCTGCCACCTCAACAACACGCAGGTGCAAGCAAAGCTCTGGGAGAAGAGTCAGTAGGTCTGTAGGCTAGAGGGTGTAGGGTTTAGGGGTTTAGGGGTTGAGGGTTTAGGGGTTTAGGCCCCCAAAATAGTATAGGTCATTATTTAGGCCCCTACATTAGACCCTCAGCCCCAAAACTCAAGGTCGTACATGCCTCGTCCTGCAAACTTAGGGTTTAGGGTTTAGGGATTTTGGGACTAAGGTTTCTTGGTCGGTACACGGGGGATGTAAGGCTTCTGGCTGTAAATATCATAGAAAACACTTTCGGGTTCATGTTCAGCGGTCCATGGCTCTCTTCGAAAAATGTTCGGGCCTTGGGCTATGATTTTGTGGCTTGCTTGAGAATTAGGGGACTTAGTAAGTACGATTGTACGTATGCTAACCTATAGCTACTATATAATTTCATCTTCGCTTCATCGCAATTACGGTGCTGAACAGTTGAACACCCGGCTTACCAAGTTCCCTGAACCTGTAGACGGGGCTTGGCGGGCCCCGTGAAACAACAAAAAAACGAATGCAAGCTCGATAAAGCCGCATGTTTTTGAAAATAAAACGCCGACAATTGACTTGGTGTTACCATTCGTTTTGGCATTTGTGTTTGTACTGGCATCAGTATTAGCATTTGCATTAATACAAGTACTGGTATTAGCATTAGTGCGCCTCGCCTGCTTCTCCACCTGCTTCATCATCGGCTTCGGCACTTGTTTGATGGTCTCCACCACCTGCACCTCGCTATTGGCTTGACATAGCAGCCTTAATAATCAGAATAGGGTTTTGGGGTATATGATACTATGACTGTAATTAGGAACCCCCAAAATAGTATAGGTAATAATATTTAGGCCCCCATGTTACGTCAATCAAAACGACGGGTGCGTAGGAAGTCTTGCGGGCTCTGTACACGGCTTCTCTGCGACTCTTCAAGAAGCTCGGGAAGCGAAAAGCTGCAGGGAAGTCCTTTTGAGGTTGGGATTTCTGTATAAACCTGAACCCCGAAACACTAAACCCTAAACCCTAAGCCCTAGACCCCTAAGCCCTAAACCCTGAACCCTATTAAGGCTT